CGCTAACGCGGCTTACTCGTCCCGCTCTGCCTTGGGTCTCATTCATTGGGCCATGACAGCAGCCGCACAGCGGCTAGTTGTAGGATGATCACGCTGACAGCGGCTAGTAGTCTGGGCAGACGATCGTCTCAGATGACGAGCTCCGGGCTGAAACGGATTAAACTCCTTAACCGAGACTTCACTGTATAGAGACACCATGCAGCATGTCATCCTTGTTACAACCTCACAAAGAGCCCTGGCGTTGTAATAATAGAGAGAAAGACTTATATTGTGAGAACTTAGGCTACTTTGCCCGGCGATTGCAAATTTAAATGGCTGGATGGAGAACGAGGTCGGACGATGGACGTTCAAGGAGAGGTGATAGTTTGTTTAAAAGGACTGGGCGATGCAGGACATTTGACAGGAACCCAGTGAACAAAACCCAGGCCTCTTTTTCACTACCTGTGCGACCCGTTTAGTTTCGCCGAACCTATCACGATGCGCTCACAGTCGTGTCTTCGAAGCATGCCAACTGGCTCTCAGGATCGTGGGTCAGGATGTATTGGTTTCTCAGTGTGGCACCAGGTCGTGTGTGTGGCACGTGTAAACGGATTTATTAGTATTATCATCCGCTGCGCCCGCCATCTTTTTGACAATGTCTTTCCACAGAAGCAAAGCGGATGGGTGAGAGAGGGAGAGAGATTAGGACATTGGTTTCGGCTGTTTTTATGGGTTTGCGGGAGCAAGCTCAAGCGTCCTTGCGTCCGAGTGATGTGTGGACGATTGTGACCGCCCGAGGCTGCGCGCGAGACCACGAAGTCAGTGCCTACGGAACAGCCCACTGGAGGGAACGAATAATGACCTTGACGAAGCTGAGGGGTATTGAACAAAGACACGCCAGACGTCGGCAGGCGTAAAAAAAGCTCTACATGTTTGCCGAAGCCCACGACAACGGGGAGGGCTTATCGGTCTGGTTTAAGGCGCACTCTAAAATCGGAAGGAGAGAGAGAGAGAGAGGCAGATATGTCTTTGGCAAAAGTCTTGGTGGCGGCAATGTCACCCGACAGATAGAGGGAGGAAAGAAAAAGGGGGGGTCGACTAACCTTAAGGAGACATATGAAGACGTCTTGTTCGAGCTGGATCACCACCAACCTCGGATGGCTTACCACAGTCTGCATGAGGGAAATTCTACAGGGATGAAAAATAACGTAGAGATTAGTCTCAATGAAGCACAAAAGCAGGAGGACGGAGAGAATACGGGGTCTGCTAAACAG